TGTATTATAAAGTGATCTTAGCAAGCTGTTTAATATATATCTGTACACATCAACTAATCTAATATACAATAATATGACGTAACTACGAAATAGCATGATCCTGTCTGCGCGTCCTTTTAAAGTCGTCTTTTAATGTCATGAATGCGAATTAAACACATGCATGCCAATGTGAGCAATAAGAACATATTTTGTAAGCATGTGCACCATCATTTATATGATAGCGACAATTATTAACGACCAAAACATTGGTCGTTAATAATTGTCGCTATCATATAAATGATGGTGCACATGCATAATTAATGTATAACATGATTAACATATGTAGATAATATATATTTTACGCGTGCTTGATAATACCAAATTAGATATATATTGATATTGCAAAAAATTAAAAAGCCATGACATTATTATTTTAAGATTTTTTATTAATTAATCAGTTCTTAATTGACCTTTCTTATCAACTATGACTAACTAGAAAAATGTTCTAGGAAATATGAGTGAATTGACTTTTTTACTTGTTAATCAAATATGCTTAGACTGATCGTGATTTTTCGTAATCATGATCGTAAATCCTAATGAGAAAATAAGAAACATCTGGCTTCGCTATTATAATAAATATTTTTTTGAAGCAAGTTTGCATACTTGCTTTTCTTTATCGGAAGCGACTTTAATCTTTTCTTTTTATTTTTATAATAGCTCATCAATATAATAGCTACGTCAATCACAATAACGTGAAGTCTGAGTTATCAATATAGAATTTTATAAGTTTAACAACGTGAAACAAATGCGCAAAATGAATAGTTAATAATAATCTTTGCACTTTGCGTTTAATTCAAATAAAATAATTTATAATTGTGATCCGAGTGCTGATTAGAATAATGGAAATTGATTTTTATGTATTTATGTTGACTTTTAAGAATTTGAAAAAAAAAAAATAATTCAGTAAAAGTTAATAAGCAACTTATTTAAACTTTTCTAAGAGTTTCAATACAAATTTGTGTCAATTCAAGAAAATATTCTGAATAATAAAAAAATTAATAATAAAAAAAAATAAAACAAAAACAAAATATATAAAACAAATCTAATGAAAATTATATAATATTTCAAATTATATAATTTGTAATTAAATTATATATACATCATATTGTATATATACGTAATATATATATGACTTATAAAGTTAATTTAATTATTTTATTATAATGTTGCAAACAGCTGTTAAAGATAAGATTAATGGAGCAATTTATTATAGATTTGATTACTGGAAACACACTTCTGTAGAAAATATGATTTATACAGAAAATAAAATTTTCATGATTAACACATATATAAATTAATATATATTAATATATATTAATACATAATTTCTAAGTATCTGCATTTTTTTAAAATATCTATGCTTTATAAAATGCGTAACATTTGATATGTTATTATGTTTTATTACAATGCATGATTGTCAGATGTATACTTTGTGTTAAGAAATTTCTTCTTTTCTACGATGAAAAATGAAATTCACTAAAATGCGCGCACATTGTTTTAAATACCAGCACTTTTACTGGAAGACCTTTGGAGTCAATGTCCATCTTGAATGCCACGACTTTGTTTTTTTATTTAAGCAGATCGGTTCCTTTCCACTATCTACATTGAGAGAATGGAAACGACCAGAACGCCTTCGAATCGAATCAACAGGATTATATTACTAATCAATATCGATGTATAAAAATATAACGAGCAAATAATCGGTAAACTACTATCATGATAATTCCGGATTTTTATGCAATGGCCTCGTTTAAGCTTCGATGATCGCGAATATTTTAATATAGGATTAACAGAATGTCGAAAGTCGAAATTACGTGTGTGTGTACTATACAATTAATGATGTTCGTAGTTCGTAACAACATGTATTAAACAATTATCTCCCAAGGAAAAGGATATTGATTAGTAATAGGTGCGATTTTTGTAAAGAGAATAATAATTAATTGAAAAAATGTTAAATATTATTGCGTTAAAAAATATGAAAAGAATCATGTAGAAGAATTGGAAGACATCTCATTATCATTTAAAAAATGATTTCAATATCTTTTTAAACGAATATTCTTCAATTTTAAATATATTCCACTTGAATTTTTAATTTTTTACATAAAAGCTTTGCATATTATATAAAAAACGATATTGCTCTTTTTAATTTAATTTAATCTCATTAATCATTAAAAGTAAGGATGATACTATAAAATATCCTGTACGTTATATAAAATTCTCCAATGTCATTAAGGATTCATCACATTAATTTCATGATTTGATCATCTTGTCTCTGAATATGTTATCACCTATCGATATATGTATATATATATTCCGACAACTTGTATTTTCCTATCTTGTATTTCTCTATTTTTGATCTCTGATCTTAATGCAGTAGGTGCGGCAATTTACATAAAAACGATAAAAAGAAATACATCCGTTCAAGGTACTGGAAAGTCAGCAGCCATAAAACCGGAAATATTTGGCATATCGTGAAATAATTTATTTGTATCTCGTAACCTTGAGTGCGGCGCAAGGCCATTGACTACAGGAACCGATAGAGTCCGTTGTACGCAAATACGAGTTCGCAGACACCTACATTTGTAACGATATGGAATTATCAGATGTTTCGAATCGGTCCTTTTAATCGTAACATTTCGTCCAGTTAAATTCCATGAGACATACGAAACTTGTTGAATGCACTGGCCTTGCGATCGCGCGTGCGAAAAATTTATTCGGGAAATACTGCAAATCCTAAATGAAACATGCACATTACACGAGAATAGATTTGTCTGAAATCTTAAGAAAATTGAAATGATAATTACAAAGAGCATAAAATAAAATTCACGAAGAATATCGTAGATAAAATTAAGATAATCATGATTAATTCCTGTTTTTTTATATATAATAATTATTAAATGAACAAATTGTTCATTCGGATTTATTCATTGTAAAAAATTTAATTTATTAATTATATATATATATATATATATATATATATATATATATAATTTGTAAAAACATTCTGTCATTTTGTAATATGCAAAGTTATATAGATATATTATATTTTTTTGCGTTATTTATCTACATAATTTACATATTAAAAAATGATACAGGATGTTTTAACAAATTATAAAAGAAATTACTGTAACAGTAATATAATTTTTATAAACTGCGTGTTTACCGAACATCAAACATTTAAATACTATGTTAATTAGCAGATTTCCCAGATGATGACTAAACAGGATATTACTTGAGAGAAAAATACTTCAAATTGATTTTGAAAAACGATAATTAATTAACTTTGAAAATTATAGTACAGATGCAATACTGATAGACAGATAGGGATAGGGAGAGAAGAAGGGAGAGAGAGGAAGAGAGAAGGAAAGAGGATCTTGACATGAATCGGTCTGTTTGGGATATCCCGGTTGCAAAGTCACCGAGTCAATGTCGGTGAATGTTACCGGTTTTCCGTTGCGACCGACATTACTAAGTCGCGTAAAAATCATGACACATCATACCTATCATATGCGTTCAATGACGTCGCACTAACTTACGGGAGCAAGAACGATGACTGAACGACAAGGTTGATGTTGCACGCAGTTTGCGGTCGACTTAACTTAGCCGGCAGCGAAACACACGACGTTGGTATTAAAGATTTTTTCAATGCGAGCATAATCAATTTAATTGAAAGAGAGAAAAAAAGATTTTGTACCTTTATTACAATTTTTATTTTCCTTTTTTTTCAAACGACTATGTTTCTCGAGGCTATTTCTTTTTTATAGAGATGCGCTTACGTAGATTTAATATGCACCATGATGCATAGCGACTGCCATACCAAATAATTATCTGAATTATATAGTGCATACTATTAAAAATATGCGATCGCATGTTGTGGAGACTGCAGCGCAAACGCCTAGAATTTTCTTTCAATCTCAATCACGTACGTTGCCTTTATCAGCAAAAATATTACATTAGACTATATCGGCAGATTTAGAGAAACATACTAACGTACACTGATCATTCTCTCTCCCCCCTCTCTTTCTCTATTATGCACATAACAAATAACAAACATCTCATAAACTCGTTTTTAATAGCTATTTAATCCTTGTCAATTATGTCCCATATACATATAACTACAGGAAAAATAAGGAAATCTAGTAAAGTAGGTAAAAATCAATTTATCTCTTCCCACTCTATATATTTATGCGTTTACTCTCTTTATAATATTATCTACAAATTATATTTTATAAGAAATAATGCAAAATCATCTAAGTTTATATACATGATATAATAACTCTCAAATGTATGCAATTGTATAGCATGTTATATTATTTTATGGAATATAATATGTTATTAATGATATAATCGGATAAACGTAAATATATATATATATATATATATATATATATATATATATAAATCATACATTATTAAATCAAATACACACACACAATTCCTCATTTCAATATTCAATATTCATAATATCTTTGATTCGCCAGGAAGTAGTTACACTTGCACGCGCAATCGCCGTGCAATACTCTCTCTATAAATTTTCAAGATTACCCCTCAGCCTTGGCTTGTTGTAATAGTTTAACGTTTCTTTATTTCTTCTATATTTGATATATTCAATATATTTTCTTTATGAATGTTGTTTACCGTTTACAAAAATAGCACATTATGCATATAAATTCAAATGTCTTATACAACACTGATCCTATCAGGACACGAAACAAGATCGTTTCTAGTAGTCGCTTATTCGAGAAGCATTTTGCATTGTAAAAACCATTCGGTATTTCGCCCTGAAACATAACCGTTTATTAAATGCTATACAAAAGGCCTTGAAGATTCGCCTTCCTCCGATCGAAGAAGCTGAAAGATCCCCCGTGTACCACGATGAACAGGTATCGAGGGAACTCTCGTCTCCCTCGCGGTGGGACAGCAACTTCGTGACCCGATTGGCCAGTGTTCCACGTGCTTACCAGGGCTTGCCGCGACGATCGGCGACGAGCAGTATGCGGTCTTCTATGGTGGGAGCAACATATTTTTCAAATTCATACCGATACAAGATTCCGCCACTCTTGCATAAAGGTGTATGCTGCACGCATCCTGCAGGGGGAACGAGGTGATACATAACAGGTGAAGATAAACAACAGTCAGACGATTCTGGTGGAGTGGGACTTCAGCTTCTCGACCGGCAAGCTTCGGAGATGAATTCATCGAGATAGTCGCGGAATTATTTCGAAAACGTACAATTATCGCGCCTTCTTCGGAGATTTATCGGTGACAATAAGAAAGTCAGAAAGAGAAGAATTTCGACATCTGCAAGGTCACCCACGAGGATTGACGAATCGATCAATCAGAAACTCTGGGTTGAAACAGAAGAAAGTGAAAGGTCTGTGTTGAAATTTAAATCGGAAGTACGGAGGTGTCGAAATCGTGTATAATTGACGGGAGTCGTTCGTCAAGAATTACATAGCATTACGAATCGCAACGTGCTAACCAATTAATTCCATAAGCCGTCATCGAGCTAGAAGCGGATATTTGCCTTCATTGTCAGTCGCGACACGCAGCGACTGTTGAATCGCTGACGATAAATCGTCTACCCTCGTGATATCACTTATTCCACAACGATACAGAAAACTGAACTATATCAAAAATGAAGGATCTCATGTTAATTTGGAATATTTTGTCGCGTTGTCGGAATTATTCGTCGGATGATGCCAATTTTGATTCCGATAAATCGGGCGAGCAAGATGAGATGAGAAGGGTGTCAGTTTCGAACAACATTCGAAGGAAATCTTCGGTGATTGTGAACAGATTCTTTAACACTACTCTACCAGTGCATTCTGATCGCAGAGGAAGATGGCCAAAAAGTAAGTAGCAGGAAGTTTTGTTTCAGGGTCGAATATAGAGACTGCTTTATTTCTCGATCAGAGACAAATCAGAATGACACATTCGTAAATTTGAGGCTACGTATGCCATATAAACGTGCATAAAGGAGAGATCTTCGAATAAATGAGACCGGATTAAATGAGGATGACCTTCACTATGTTGTAATTTCCATAAACAGAGACTCGTTTTTAATTTGTGTTAACCGTTTTAATTTGAAAAAAAATATTTTACGAAATTTATAATAGTAGATCCATTTTTCATGGCTTATGCATTGTTTACACACTGTTTCAATTTTGCTCTGAATTATTTGTAATTAGAAATATTAAAAAAGATATATATATATATATATATATATATATATATATATATATATACATAATTATTTTGTGCAATATTTTAAACAGAAACATAAATGTTTGGATACATAATAAATTATAAAAAAATTATAAAAAATCGACCACTCTATTTTTTATCTTAACGATTTAGAATAAACTAATTATCGAAATTATTGTACACACATAAAATAGAATAAAGAGAAAAGATTCTGCAAAATCACAGAAGCAAAGGAAAAACGGTGTAATTTAAGAATAATTATAAATACATAATGTGTGTGTATGATTTGTCGTAAACAAGTATTGACAGCATTGAAAAATGCAAATACATGCTACACATATTTCGGTCTACTTCAATGTTTTAAAAAAATTAATATGTAATTTTTTCTGCGCCTCAAAGTGTATCTCTGATAAGCTTTTCTTTTGCTATTACGATTGCATGTGAATATTAAAGATGTATCCTGAAAAGAAGTCGTTTACGAACGTTTGATTGGTTATTTTATAATTTTGGACTTTCCCACAAATTTATACGTTCAATTTAACGTTTTAAAATTCACAATCTTATAAAATTCACAAATGTGGGATATAATAATGAATAAAAATAAATATCTAAGAAACATAAAATAAATTACCATATAAAACTATAAAAACCAGTTTGCCGTTATTTTAGTCATAATGCAAAAGGTTTTCAATGAATGCGCAAATATATTTTTTGACGCAAATATATACCTTTCAGATATATATCGCGGAAAATTTACATATGATCGTTCATTCTCGAACGTGGTATTTCCCATGTAAGAAGAAGTATATAAGAATTGATCACCCAGATGTGCATATAATTAACGGTGAGCAAACCGGTTCTAAACATATGATAAAGTTCACAAGAACAAACAAAAGCGAATACTAGACCGAAAACGCAAATGCAAAATGCAATTTATTCTGATTAAGTCGCTCCGCTTAGCTGAACACAAAATATTGACTTTCGCGAGATTGCAACATTGAAAATCTCCCGAGAAGAATTTTCACGCAGATACCCATATGTACCCGTGCAATCTATTAAATTACAAGTGAGCACTCATACTATCGATTAAATGCGCGGTATATGTAATTTATATACTGTGAATATAACAACTCTTCAAAAAAAAATAAAGAAAATGAGTAGATAGATCATTGAATGCGTTTATGTTTCATACATATCGAAAGAGATAGAAAAACGTTTTGCATGTAATATTTCTTGTATCACAAAATTTACAATGACTGATAGGATATTTGAATTTTAATTTGATTTGTTTCTCAGTTATATCGAATATTTCACGCAGTATGTATAATTTATATTCATTCATTATTTAGTAGAAAGTACTTTAGTTTCTTTTGCGTGTGCAACTATAAATCTACCGAATAAATTTCCGAAGCTATTAGCAAATTTATGAAATATGAAAAACGCATATAAAATCACATATTTTATATATAAGGTGCATGTAAAATCAGATAAAATTATTTTTAGAGAAATATATACAATTAACAGAAATTATCAAAATAATCATAATTTCTAGCATAGATATTGTTAGACAATTATGTGTAGTTGTCTGTAGTATGAGCAAATCATCGAACGTATCATCATATGCATAACAAACCTATTTCTCAAAGATTCATATATGATGCGAATAGCAAATGCAATTAAGATCAATTAGCAAGTCAATACACTGCAGTTATAAAAAGATAAGTAATATCAATCAACATTTATAGTTTGTTGCTCATTAAAATTTGCTTCCTATTTTTTCTTTCTTTCAATTAATGTTTTTGTGTCATTCTGTTATTTTGCATAAACATATTAATTATTGATAATCCGATAAATCCGGATCTCGTTTTTTCGTGTAAACTTATTTTAGAAAATTCTTTATACCTATTTTACATTTGCAATTATTTTCTTTATTAAAGAATGCAACGAAAATGCATAATTAGACAGTAGTATCTATGCTAGAAAATTATGATTGTTTTGATGATTACTGTGCGATTCTGCGTTGACTGCAATTCCTGTAAATTGCTAAAAATAATTTTATCCGATGTTTATTACGCTATAATATTATATGCATTTTTATATACTTATATACGATTTTATATGCATTTTTCGTATTTCGTAAATATGCTAATGGCTTTAGAAATTTCACTGCTAAGTAGATTTGTAGTTATATACACAGAAGAAAATACTTTTTACTACCGTTTAACGCTTGATGTAGTTAAAAGATAAAAATTAAAATTTTTCTACAATTATATACAGTTATACAATTATATATGTTATACAATTATAAAGAAAAATTTTTCGGATCATTGTGTGAAGTAACCAAAAAGAATAAAAATTTTATGACCAATTTTATTCTATTTTGTTTTGATGCCGATAATTATATTGATATCGTTGAGCGATACGTGCTAAAATGCTTAATTCGTGCGAAAACAATCGCTGTACAATTCGATCCGAGACACCATCGTGCTTTTCGACACGTTTTTAATTATCTAATTATGCAATTGTTTATTTTATAAAATAATTTACAATTGACAAATGTATTTAATTATATTGATCGCAACAAAGAAATGTGAATAGTCTGTTGTATATAAATTCTGACTTGATGAGCTATTCGATAACAAGTCACGTTCCACATTTGGTTACTCGTCTGGACACACGCATCGTCTCAAATTCTTATAAACAATTCTACGCTTATAAAGCAAAGAACTGTAAGCTTATTAAAAAAACAACAAAGAGCAAAATCACAGATTTACATTTTTGAGATAAAATAAATAAATAAATAAATACATTTTCAGAAAATATTTTTCTAATTACAACGATGAAAATATCTGAAAATGAATAATCGTTTTATATTATTTTTTTTCATTTCTTAGATATTTTATAAAATATCTCATTGAAACACATCATAACACGCTATAATAATATAATTTATCATTGATACTCATTTAATAATATATAATTCAGATCATAATATCGTCTACTAATATTGTTCAAAAACATTTTGAGGCGTGCATAAATTTATTAAGTTGTTAAATAGCATCCTATGCACACATATTTAGTTATATTTGCATATTTGCAAGCGCATAGCAACATAAAAATAGCAACATAAAATCCAGCTACTTATTTCATGATAGAGCTTATATATATATACATAAATTCCGGTTTCATCAAACCTGTTTCAGTTCTAGCCAAGCTATTTCGCAAAAATAATTATAACGGTTAATTATTGCACAGAATTTTACATGGATAGTAACATTTATACATATCTAAATTCATGATTCGAAATCTCTCCGGCTTTAAATTCCAAAAATGTCTAATCAATGAATTTCTATATATGTCAAAGTATTAATGCCTATGCTCTACACAGAACTCTAAAAACATTATCTAAATAACACTTCTCTAAATGACAAATTTATATATTATTAATATATATTATATATATATATATATATATATATATATATAATTATTATATTTTTGGTATACTCTTGTTTTATTTATTTACAATACTTATTAAATAACCTCTTAAATTATTATACTTTTATACTCTATGATTTATATGATTCTTACTTCTTAAATCTTTAATGTAGCTATAAAATACATCGTTATTGCATATATCATCGCATTGTTTGATTGATGAAATTGTTTAAACATGTTACCTTATCGCAATAACACTAATTGCAAACATTATTTCATTGATTTATCGTATTCGCGCAAAACACAACATTTAATCACAATATAAACTAATGACGGGAAGATATAATGTCTAAAAGAAGATGCTTGGCATAAGTGAATTAATCATACTTATTAGCTTCGAGCTCACTTACGGCATGTATCGCCTGAAAGAAAAACCAATTAAATTAACGAACACGTGAATATTTTACTTGTGCATGAAAGTAAAAGTAAAAGCCGGTCAAAAGCATGTTGCTTACGTATGACACACTCCTTTTTATACCCGTTCGAGTGAATAAATGTCGCCGACCAACTTAAAATCTGTGGCTACGTGTAATCGTGTCAGATAAACCGCATCGTAAGCGATACATAATTTAATGATCGGTGGACAATGAAAAAAAGGAAAAAGGAAAACGTATTAAGATAGGTAATGGTAAATGTCGGAATCGTGAACGACCTTACAATTTGACAAATACCATCACCGGCACCCTAGAATTCAAGTCGTCAAAGTAACCGTATAAAATACTTCCGTGCGAGATGAATTTATTTCGCATTGGTGATGCATATTTATCGTCCGAATAAGACGTGAATGTTAAACGGCCTTTATGTGAATAAAATACGTATGATGTGCATTTGAGCAAATGTATTGTTTCGAAACTTGACAGATGCTATGAAAGGATACGAAACGTCGCAAAAATTATTATATAAAGAGAAAAAAAGTACATTTTTGTATTAAATAAAAAGGTAGTTGATCTTAAGAAAAGAAGAAAAAAACGATTTTATATATATATATATATATATATATATATATATATATATATATTAATAAAAAAATCGGTTTTATCTTCTTTTTTTAAGATAGATTACCTTTTTACTTAATACATGTATAAAATACATGTATAAAATTTTTAATCTATAAACACATAGTGTCCTTGAATTTTGAATTAAATTGCAT